ACAACAGTTCATTTAGTGACCATTCAAAGTTATGGCACTGAAAAAAAAAGAGGAACTTGTGAGCATTTTTCACACTTATGACTGTTGCAGCATTCCCATAGTCACCTGATCAAAACCCAGGCGCTCGGCAGCTGGTTCATATGGCAGCGTTCCCGGGATCAGGTGATCTCTGCTTCTGACAAGCAAAGTCCACAGGGGCAGCCAGATTCACTTAACAACCGTGTCACTAACTTAACCGCAATGATTGACTGAACGACTGTGGCAAGAAAGGTCACTAAAAAGGGCAAAACTCACTAGACAAATGTTTCATTTAGCAACATTTGGGGTCAATTGTGGTCGTAATTCAAGGACTACCTGTTTCCTCCCCACCCTTGTCTTGTCCAGGAGTTGAAAGCCCCCTGATTGATTGATTGATTGATTGATTGAATGAATGAATGAATGAACAATGAATGAGTAGCAATCTAAGTAGTGGAAAATAAATGTATGTACATGTATGTATGGCTATAAATGAAACGCACAGATAATGATATAAAATAATACTTCATTATTATATCTGAAGGGTTTTATAAAAATAGAGTTTCTGCGTTTATGGTCTTTTAAAAATCTTTTAATGTTCCCTTTTCGATATTGCATTCAATATCCTGTCGTTCTTTTCCAATGAGTTAAAAACCATGCTGAATTACAATATCATTCCGTTTTACATTATTGGTCATTCATAGTTTTATCCACAGTTTAAGGAAGAACCCTCGTTACAAAAACAAACAAATGCCAAAGGGACTAAGATGTAAAAATATATATATATAGCTCAATATTTTAATGCATCACAGAAATGGTAAAGCATGACAGAGAGGGGTTTTTTTTTTTTGCTTTTTCAACAAATCCTATTAAACCAAGCAATATTCCCACTCATTTTCTAAAATAGGACAACCCAAAGCTATTTTAAACACCACAACATTGTAAAATACGCAATACATAATTCAAATTTCACAAGCAGGGATCCTTAGAGAACATATGCAAAACTGTACACTAAAAAAAACAACAACAACCAACATTATAAATAATAATGGGAAATGCTTAAAAAGAGATGAGGTTACCATAATCCGATGTTTTCAGAGGGGACTCTGGAGGACACCTAGATTTCCCTGAATCTGGAAACTTGCCTATTGTATTCTACTGCAGCTACTTTCATATCCCAGCAAGCAAACTTCAAGTTAACAAGAGAGCACCAGGTTGGAGAAAGGAAATGCATTCCTTTCATTTTTGCATTCATGATTGGACAGGAGAGACGGGGAAATTACGTGTGAAACGGATGTTGACGAACAGTTGAACTTGTGGGTCCTTTCATCATTTTTCCCCCTCTTTTCTACTGTTAGTATGTACAAGATGGTTACGTTGAGGCTGATGGAGAGACGTTACAAGAGATGGAAGCCATCTTCCCATCTGAGCTACAACTTTAGAAAGCAGGAAGGACCATGGTTGCAGCAAGTTGTCTTGCTCTGAACATCTGATCAAAAAGCCTTCAAGACTATCTCCAGATTCAAATTTCACCCGCTGACCAAAACCTACTTCCATATCTGATGACCCTAATGAGACAATCTGCTCCTGTTTGGGATTAAAGCTGGCTATGTTCATTGGATGGTTGTAAAACAAGTCATACAATCAACTAAAGACATTGAACTAAACATTTGGAATTGTATCATGGCAAACTTCAACAGCTAGTTGCATCCCCAGTTCCTATCACATGTCTTTCAGAGTGGGCAGCTCTATAAAATCAATATAATTCTATAATTATGAAGCAGGAGATGCCACAGGAGTGTTGTAGTGCTTCAACTTTGAAGACCATCGACAGAGTCACTGGTGGGATGGCCACCATCAACGTAATGTTCTAGGAAATTGGTGGTGATGGTAGCAATTATGGGACTTGACTTCGTTTCCCCATCTTCCCTGTTCAAAACAACTCTTTTGTTTCCCTGCTGATTCAATTTTCCAACTTCCTTCCACCTTAGGAAGGAAAAGTTGGTTTCCAATCACCAGATTAAGTTACGAAGACATAAAACCAGGTTCTTGGTTACGTTTATGTTCTATCAGTACTAGGTATATTTCTCTACATAGGGATTGTAAAACACAACCATTATCCATCCAGTAACAAACGATAGAATTAATGGAATTAATGAATCAATTTAATTGATAAATTGATTCATTCCTCCAATAAAACACCGCTGAAGAGCTAAAATATTGATTCATAAAGCCGAGAGATGTAATATTTGATTATGCATAAACGTTAAGTGTATTCTCTCTTTTCTAATCCTATTCTTGTCCAGTTTACTCCCCTTCTTATGCTTCTGCCCGGTTCCACATAAAATAATATTAAATCAGCCCCAAAACATTTTCTGCTTCTCAACTTTGGTGAACGTGGCTGCTAGTTCTTCAACCGTCAGTTGACTTCAGCTGCTGTAATCCTTAATCCACCCGCCATTTTGGCCCTTGAAAATCCAATTTCATTTTGCTTGGAAAGCCTTCCCACTTCCCACGATTCCACCAAAGGGAACAAGAGGTAGACTGAGTTACAGCATCAGAATCGGTCAACCAGAAAGCAAGAGATCCATACAAAGACATTTTTCTATTCTTCTGAGAAGTTTTTCAGAAGACCGAAAGTCTACGGAATTGAGTGTCAGTATTCTGTTTAACAAATATGAACGACCACCCCCCCCACTGCTAATATTAATGATTGAGCGTGAAGAAATTATTTTGCTCCCCAAACAAGCAACATTATCATAAGAAAGATAGAGTAAAAGTTCCCATCAAAAACAGGTGCGACTTGATTGCAAAGTTGTAGCAGCCGCCATTTTGATTCTTCAGACTCTTCCTCCCCTCGCCCTACACCCCTGGTTTTATAAGTGCTTTATTTTGGTTGTGTCATTCTGTTTCTGCCAGGTGCCGATTATTATTAATACCGTAGAAACTTCACGCCTATGATATTGCATCGAAATGAATCCATTTCTGCATAACTTTGATGAAATGGTGACAGTTTGTTCTCCAGATTGCCAAATGTTTCATTGAAGTGTCTTGTTTCAGTTCTTCTCCGCTTTTATTGATCTCACCTGGTGACCTTCACACGGCGTGACCAGCTGGTCATACAAACCACCAACCACATGAGATCAATAAAAGCGGAGAAGAACCGAGATACTTCAACCAAAGTCCCATTGAGGAGGTCACCTCGTCCGGAGATAAAACGTTCGGAAGCAAAACAACAAGTCCGGAGAACAAACCACCCAAATATCTACAAATAGTTTCTATCCTTTCTAAGTTGGTTAGATCTTCAGCTTTCTTAAATTCACTTCGATCCCTGGCAGGTCCAAGCATTTGTAAGAAAGTGGCCTCTTTCCAGTACAAATACACACCCAAACTGCTTTTCAATTCTAAGTTATTTCCAGTGAATCACAGGGAATTTACTTCTGAGTAAACCTGCATGAAATTGGGGTGCAGGATCACTTCCTCCGCTTTCCAAGAAATGCACATTTAAGCACTTTTAAATTTCACGGATATCAGTAGCAATAAATGGAAGTTTCTCCACTGTAACTTATCAGAGTTTTGTTTTTTTTTTAAAAAAAGCTGAATTTGCCTTGTATTTTTCTTGCAAATATTAAGGTCATGATAAAGACTTCCAGCCTGCATTGCTACCTAAGCCGACCCCTTTCAAGTCTCAACGACTCTGACAAAAGAGATCCAAGTATGTGCATTTTGCCTGGATCGCCAAGTAAATAAATTTTCTATCTACATCTAGATAAAATTCTTAATAGTAGCACATTCCAAGAAATGTAGATAGTTTTGCAATAAATGGCATCATGAGGAAAATGATGGATACATTATCAGCTGTTGGAAAATCAGCCCACGAGGCAATAAACAGAACGATAATAACTGGATGCAAGGGACATTAAGCTGTAATAGAGCATAGCACGTCTCAAGATATGAATTTGTTCTCTTTTTGATCTTGGTGACATAATATGTGACCTTGAAGCAAAATGCTAATTTTCTTTTCCAGCAGCACGAGCGTACAATAATCTCAGGATCCAAGGTTTCATCCTGGTTGACTGAAATGGCTTCTCAGTGGCATGAAACGAAAACGGTGGGGAGTTATTTCCACATGCCACCCAAAGTTACGAATCGCAACTTCTTCTGTATAAATTCGTTCCGAATATCCGAAGAGCCTCTTAGTGAAAAGAGCTTCTCCAAATATGGGGCGCGAACCTTATCTACAAATGGCTCTCTTTGATCTGAAGGCTGGTTGGTATAATGCTACAAACTATTTTGGTATAATGCTACAAACTATTGTTTAGAGTGGAATCGGACAACGCACCGTGGCCCACGCACCGTGGCCAATTCGCCACAGTTCTCGCCACGGGACGATTTGAAAAGTTCAATTTAATCATTTAAAATAATTTAATTTTTGTCGTTCGCATTTCATTTTGTCCTTCCTTAGATGTCTTTTCTGTAATGACTCCATTCCACCATTTCTTTGATATTCGTGTAACTCTTGTCCCATGGCAAGTTGGCCATGGCAAGTTGGCCATGGCAAGTTGGCCAGGGCAAGTTGGCCAGGGCAAGTTGTCCTAGATCCATTTACAGAGCGGTGAACATATTTAGACCCCCTCACACCCGACAACAGAGGTAAAAAGGTTGTGTGTAAGAGCAGTAAGCTTCCTCTCACCCAGCTTTGGGACGTTCCATGAGTTAATACTTCTGGAACACAAGGTTATATTTTTAGGGCAATTCACTTCTTTTAAAAAAAACCACATTATTTACATAATTTAATCTTGTCAGGAGGAGAAAACCTTGCGAATGCCCCGCCCACCCCAGTACCTTTTTCTTCCTCGCTATCTTGTGTCTACAAATCAAAAATGGTGTCCCTACATATCCTACGGAGATACAGCAGCTCAATTCTTCAACAATTGTTCTCTCAATTCAGCCTTCAAACAATTTAGGTCCAAAAAAGACAAGTGCTTTAGAAAAGTCATACATTGCACAAACCACAGAACCTACAGTACTAAAATATATGGAGAGATAATTTCTTTAACGCACACCTTAACCGGCACTTCTTGAAGGTTTTTAGAAGATTCGTTTGGTTGAACAGATCTGCCTGGTACACACTATATTACATTATGTTACAATGGCATAGGTCTGGACTCTCCAAAACATCGGATTGAGGGGATACAGTTTTAAAGTTCTTGCTGAAAACCTGATCCAGCTAGTGATATATTATATGATATAGCCTATGACCAGTTGTCCTACTTGTGGGTCTACAGATGCTGAAGAACGTGGAGTAGATTGGACTTCTACAGGACTGCAAATGAGAGAGTCTTAGCAGTGATGGGCAGAAGGACTGTTGGCCCATAGATCTCTAAAAAAAACCAAGTGGAGTACTTGTCCAGAGGCCTTCCTTAGTCTGGAGACAAGTACAGGACTTCACTTGAGCAGATGTGAGGTAAGGCCTTGACCTTACGGATGATTTGAATGCACGTCTTGAGATTTAGACACAATTTAAGGGTTCCTGACAACGGTTGTTACCCATCCCTGGTTCAATCTTCTCACTGAGTGCAAGTCACTGGCCCACGTTCCCCGTTTTTCCCCTCTAGACAGGCCCCTCAAGCGTTCCATCCTTGGAGCTCCATTCTCAACTTCCCCCTCTGCTACAACGCTGTGGTGCTCAAGTCCGCTTTCTCTGCTTTCGTGCCTTTGGAAAGACAGTTCTCTTCATCGGCCAGCGATACGGGGTTCTCGTGAACTTCCATCGTTTTCGTGTGCTTGGCTTCTTCGCTCGGGGTGGCCTCCTTGTTTCGACAACGTTTGCAGCAGCAGCAACAATATCTGCCACAGGCAACGCCTGCGGCGGTTATGACTTCGTCCCAGGGCCGCAAAGAATGCATCCATCGAGGAAGGAAATCCCAACTTCGGAGCTTCTCCGGGAGCAAATGTGGCTTCTTCTTCTGCAGGAGGTGGACGGTGAGCACCAGGATCAAGGCCATGAAAACGGGGACAGCCACGGCCACCAGGTAGGGCCAACCGGCCACCGAAAGGCCGAACACGGCCAAAGGGATCAAGAAGAAGCAGGAGAGGAGGTAGAAAATGGCGAACCATCGGTACTTGGCGGTGATGTTCCCCAGAGCTTTGGACAAGCGAATGGGGATACGCATAAAAGGAAATGGGTACCAAAGGATGATCCCCGAGATATTGAAAAAGAAATGGCACAAAGCGATCTGGAAAGAAAACAGAGTTCAAAGGAGACGTCAGAAGAATATCAAGACAGCGCATCGCATGTACATACTATGCAATTTATCACGCTTGGACACCATTTTTTTCGTTGGATCTTCAGGCCTGCCACATTTACTACTGTGGGAAATTGGGAGAGGAGATTGTATGGAGCCAGAGTGATATATAGTCATAATAACATTCAGGGGTGGGCTTCAAAATTTTTAGCAAGGGTTCTCTGCTCTGTTGCTGGATGGGCATGGCCTAGTCAGCCTCCTGCACCATGGTGGGAGTGGTTCCCTTCCCTGGGCTCTGGAGGCTTTTCTTGAGCCTTCGGGAGGGCAAAAACGGCCTCCCCAGGCTCCGGAGGCCCTCTGGAGGCTGGAAACGGGTGTTTCTTCCAATCCTAATCCGCTTACTCCCACTTACTACAAGCTGCGTTTTTGAGTTGGTAGCTAAAGTAGAAACACCAAGAGTTTCTGCTTCTTTCCTGAATCAGCAGTTTAAACCCTTTGGTTTGAAGGAACAAACTAAGGATGGCCTTTTTAGACCTTAAAGCAAATGGTCATGGCTGAAGACAAAGTAAAAACTTGAGAGATAGGAATTGTAATTGTACCCTGTTTCCCCGAAAATAAGACACCCCCTGTTAATAAGCCCAATCGGGCTTTTGAGCACATGCGCTAAAATAAGCCCTCCCCAAATATATTTAAACACAGAGCTGGAAATCAGGTAAGACGGCAAGAGGATCCCCATCTTATTTATTTTATTTATTTATTTATCAAATTTCTATACCACCCTACTCCCGGAGGACTCAGGGCAGTGAACAGCCGAGATAAAATACAGATAATACAAACATTAAAAGTCCCTTAAAATTATTAAATATTTTGGCCGAAACACAGATTAAAACACCGAGTTTATAAAACAAATCAAACGATTTAAAAAATTTAAAAGAGGAGAGTTAGGCCAGGCCAGCCTGCTGAAATAAAAAAGTTTTGAGAGCACGACGAAACGTGCGCAGATCCGGGATCCTCCGTATCTCTGGGGGGAGCTCGTTCCAGATGGTAGGTGCCCCCACAGAGAAGGGTCTCCCCCTGGTCCGGGATCCTCCGTATCTCTGGGGGGAGCTCGTTCCAGATGGTAGGTGCCCCCACAGAGAAGGCTCTCCCCCTGGGGGCCGGCAGTCGACACTGTTTGGCCGACGGCACCCTGAGGAGCCCCTCTCTATGGGAGCGTACTGGTCGGTGAGAGGCTATTGGTAGCAGAAGGCGGTCTCCTAAATACCCTGGTCCAATGCTATGGAGCGCTCTAAAGGTGGTGCTCCACGCGCCCCAAAATAATAAGACCTCCCTGAAAATAAGGCCAAGCGCATATTTCGGGGTTGAAAAAAATATAAGACAGGGTCTTATTTTCGGGGAAACACGGTAGTTGAATTATATGTTCTTTCAACAGAAGAGGCTTTCGAATATCAAAAAGTGCTCACCTGTAAGGAATATTTCAGTCGGTTCCCAGGGCTGGCCATTGCAGCTAGAATAGCTGTTGTTGTTGTCCCAATATTCGATCCCAAGGTCAGTGGGTAGGCCCGTTCTATGCTTATAACCCCAATTCCTGAGGGGAAGAAAACGGGAGGAATTGCATCGTTTGATTGTAATTTTAGATAATGCCCTAGAGTTCAAAACGCTTCATCAATTGAGCGAGTGGCTTTCCCAGAGTCCACAATTCTAAATCAGAGTAGGATGCTTGCTGTCAAATGTGGGGAAATCCAGGCAGTTCAAATAAATATAAAGGTTTATTTGCAAGCTTAAGCGCTCTAAAAGAATCTGAACTACTAACAGTCGAAGCAAATCGGTGATAGAGAGGAGCTGTGGTGGCACAGTGGTTAGAGTGCAGTATTGCAGGCAAACTCAGTTCAAGGTTGACTCAGCCTTAGTGCACTTGTTAAGGTAGTAACCCGGTTATTAAGTGAATCCGGTTCCTCCATTGACTTGACTTGTCAGAAGGCCACAAAAGGAGACTACGAGACACTGCAACCGTCATAAATATGAGTCAGCGGTCAAGCACCCAAATGTAGATCATGTGACCATGGAAATGCTGCAATGGTCATAAGTGTGAATAATGGTCATACGTCCCTTTTTTTCAGTGCCGCTGTAGCTTCGAACGGTCACTAAATGAAGCGCTGAAGGTCAAGGACGATTGTATAAAATATAGAAGCTATCCTGTTGCAAATCAACCCAGGAAATGAAAGATAAGAGAGATTCTACTTTGTGTAAATGCACACACAAAACATAATAACAAAAAGCCCTTTATGCTACAAACATTTCATGAAGCTCTTACCAACAAGAGGAGTGATAGCAGAGGTGAAGACTGAGCTGCTTTGAACAATGAAGGTCATCCCAGCTCCTACCAGCATAGCCAGATAACCAGTTACCCAAGAAAACGGAAACGGAAAATCTGGAAAACAGAGAAATAAAAGATGCTAGATTTATGTAGCAGGTTCTTTCTACCTAATCCATTGTCTTCAATATTTATAACAGAATAACAGAGTTGGAAGGTCTACTGTACTCTACTCTACTCTGAACTTCATTCTCTACTCTACTCTACTTTAGTCTACTCTACTCTACTCTACTTTATTCTATTCTATTCCATTCCATTCCATTCTGAACTTCATTCTACTCTTTTCTACTCTACTCTACTCTACTCTACTCTACTCAACTCAACTCATCTCAACTCAACTCAACTCAACTCAACTCAACTCAACTCTATTCTATCCTATTCCGTTCCATTCCATTCCATTCCATTCCATTCCATTCTGAACTTCACTCTACTCTACTCTACTCTACTCTACTCTACTCTACTCTACTCTACTCTACCCTACCCTACCCTACCCTACCCTACCCTACCTTACCCTACCCTACCCTACTCTACTCTACTCTATTATGAACTTCATTCTACTCTACTCTATTATGAACTTCATTCTGTTCTACTCTACTGTATTCCAAAAAAATACTTTTGACCTAATAACTGCTAGGAAGAAGCCACTTTTTAATTATCTTTTTAAAACTATTTTTGCACTTTTTTTTTTTTACAATTTTGGTTCAACCTTTGTTTCATTTCTGGCACGTTTTTTTGCTTTTCTCCCTGGCTTATTCTTTTTCTCCCTTCCTTTCTTTATATTCCCTTGCTTTTTTTTCCTCTCTTTTTGTTGAAAACAAAATTAATGGGGAAAAAAATTAGATGCCGAAAATAAAGAAAAAAAAAAACCCAGACGAAATACTTACCAGTATTGAGTGTTTTCTTGATGACATTTGCGACTTGTCCTTTCAGGACCGAGTTCAGCAGTTTAACAATCAATACCAAGCAAGTGCAAAGGACCAGTAAAGAGAATGCGAGCAGGATGAGACCAATGGCCAGATCCTGGAGCTGAGATCCTACAAAAATGTGCTTGCCTGTGGAACGAGAAGAGACAAGTCAACAAATGCTAAGCAACTTATATCCCGTTGGGGCCGAAATGTGACCACATAACATCGTCAGACAAGGAGAAAACAGCTGCAATTCCTGTTCTCTTTCTCTATGTTGGAGAACAGTGTATGGAACTGCACAGTGGTGGCATTCAGCCGGTTTAGGCCGGTTCGGGTGAATCGATAAATTGCTGGCTGGCCCCGCCCCTCCCCGTCCCTTCCAGGAGTCCCCACGTGCCCTGTTTTTGCTCCCAGGAGGCTTCAGGGAGGCCTCCTAGGCCCCAAACAGGGCACGAGGACAGGACGTTCCCCCCCCTGCAGCACATTTTTGCTCCCAGGGGGGTGCAGGAGGCCAAGTGCCACCTGTCACACCCCCTGATCATGCCCACCCTGGCCACGCCCACCCAGCCGGTCATTAGGGCATTAGGTCATTAGTTGCCTTAAACAGGAGATCTTTCATAGTGGTATTTCTGGCTCAATTTATATCTCCTAAAAGGAACCTGCTACTTGTGGTTACAAATGGTGGATGTTTAGGATCTGCTCCTACTTCGGGAGGTTCTTTGGCCACCATCCAAAGACGCGAGTGATCCGGTTGACCTTCTAACAGGATGGCTGCCACCTTCTTCTTAATTCCAGCAATGAAGTGTCTTGGATTATATAAACCCCCTCTCCAACCTGACATTTTCCTAGCGTCATATCTGGTCATCCCTTGTTTTGACAACGGATCTTATACAGTGGTGAAATCTAAAATTTGTTACTAAATTTCTGTGGGTTCTGTGGGTTCTGTGGGCGTGGCTTGGTGGGTGGGTGGGGGTAATGTGACTGAGTGGGCGTGGCCAATTTTTTTTAAACTTTTAAAACCATTTTTTCTACAACCTCTTCGGCGTTAAAAAAAATGCTTTCAAAAGGTTCTGACGATCCCAGTTGAGTTGCCTGATCGGCAGAGGCTTTTGATGATCAGGCAACTCAGCTTGGATCGTCAGAGACATTTAAAAGAAAAAAAAGCCTCTACCGATCAGGAAACTCAGCTGGGATCATCAGAGGCTTTTAAAAGCATTTTTTAAAAAATGCTTTTAAAAGCCTTTGACGATCCCAGCTGAGCCGTGCGATCATCAGAGGCTATTTTTTTAAAAGCATTTTTTCGGCTGAAGAAGTTATAGAAAAAATGCTTTTAAAAGTAAAAAAAAAAAAGCCTCTGATGATTGTGTGGCTCAGCTGTGCATGGGGCGTGGGGGGGGCAGGAATTTTTGCTACCGGTTCTCCGAACCACCCGCCTCCATCGCTACCGGATCGAGCGATCCGGTCCGAACCAGGAGCATTTCACCCTTGATCTTATATCTTCAGAGAAATAAGGCCACCCCCTTCCTTACATTTTTCGAGATACTGTGTATCCGAAACGTTTTTGACGGTCCAGGTCATATTTCCACCGGTCCAGCAAAGATCTGGAGACGTGCAGTTTTCAGATGCTGGGACGGTCATATTCCGTTCAACCTAGGCATTGACATAAAATCGTTCGATGAAACTCAGTCTATTCATGTTATGCTGATTTAGACACTTTTATTATTATTCGAAACCGAACATGACAGCCAAAAAGAATTCACCTCAGCAGTGGAAATTATGGAATTATGGACTCTTCCATGTTGGCCCTTTTTCTACCTCCCAACCTCACCCCATCACCGTAAAATGTTCAAAGAATAAGAGGCTGGAAGGGCCTTTGCAGGTCTTCAAACAAAATCGCCTGTCAGTGGTGAAATCCAATTTTTTTAAATTATTGGTTCTGTGGGCGTGGCTTGGTGGGCGTGGTGTAGCTTGGTGGACGTGGCTTGGTGGGTGTGGCACAGGAAGGATACTGCAAAATCTCCATTCCCTCCCCACTCCAGGGGAAGGATACTGCAAAATCTCCATTCCCACCCCACTCCAGGGGAAGGATACTGCAAAATCTCCATTCCCACCCCACTCCAGGGGAAGGATACTGCAAAATCTCCATTCCCACCCCACTCCAGGGGAAGGATACTGCAAAATCTCCATTCCCACCCCACTTCAAGGGAAGGATATTGCAAAATCTCCATTCCCACCCCACTCCAAGGGAAGGATATTGCAAATTTCCATTCCCTCCCCACTCCAGGGGAAGGATATTGCAAAACCACCAAGCTTAGAGAGCACCAAGGACTCCACAATCCTCCTCCTCCTCCTGGCTTCTCTACTCTTTGAATTTTTATAATATTCAGCATTCTTCAGGCTGGATATATTTATGCGTATATTCAGATTCTAGGAGATCAAAGGTCAGTACAGGTAGTCCTCGACTTACAACCGCAGTCGAGCCCAACATTTCTGCTCTTAAGCGAGACATTTGTTAAGTGAGTTTTTGCCCCATTTTACCGCCTGCCTTGTCTCTGTTGTTAAGTGAGTCCCTGCAATTAGTAACCCGGTTGTTAAGCGAATCTGTCTTCCTCACGGACTTCATTTGTTAGAAGGTTGCAAAAGGGGATCACGTGACCCCATGGTCAACACACAGTGACCGTCATAAATCTGAACCAGCTGGCAAGCCTCTGAATTTTGATCACGTGACCATGGGGAAATGCTGCAAAGGTCATAACTGTGAAAAATCGGCATATGTTTTTTTCAGTGCTGTTGTAACTTTGGAACCGTCACTAAATGAACTGTTGTAAATCAAGGACTACCTGTATGATATTCTATTTATATAAAGGTAAAGGTTCCCCTCACAAACATATGTGCTAGTCGTTCCTGATTCTAGGAGGCGGTGCTCCTCTCCGTTTCAAAGCCGAACGCTGTCCGAAGACGTCTCCATGGTCATGCGGCCGGCATGACTCAACGCCAAAAGCGCACGGAACGCTGTTCCCTTCTCACCAAAGGTGATCCCTATTTTTCAACTTACATTTTTTACCTGCTTTCGAACTGCTAGGTTGGCAGAAGCTGGGACAAGGAACGGGAGCTCACTCAGGATTCGAACCGCTGAACTGCCGACCTTTCGATCGACAATCTCAGCGTCTTAGCCACTAAGACCCTGCATCCCATTACTTATTTATATTATAAACTCTAGTTATATGCCCTTTCCAAAAACAATAGACAGGCTGGATTTTCTAGAGGAATGAATACCCAGAACATTATCACACATTATCACCGTTACGGTTTCGTTCACTGATTAATAGTTATCAGAGAGAAAGAGAAAAGTGACTAATTCAGCGATATGCCAGGTTCTTATCTGCATCAAATGACCCCTTAACTCAACACTCACCAAGCTCGTTTTCGTTTTGCACCAAACTTTCACCAGCGTTTTGTTTTTTGCCGATTCATCACCTGTAGCGATTGCACTGATGACCGATTTATCGAGCTGTTAATCAGAGGGAAGCAAAAAAAAAAAAATGGAAATACCATTTATTGGATCAATTGAAGAACGCATATTACATCAGATTCATTTTCTCCTGCCTTGCCTTTTCCAAAAAGGCCAGCCAATGGTTTGAAAAAGTTAACACGACCTCAAAATAAAATACAACTTATTTGCAAAAAGGATCTCGGCAACGATCGGGCTGGGCAGTGTAGTGGCAGGCTGGTGGGCCAGCGCATATGTGCATAAACACACAACTCGACTGCAAGATGAACCCCACGTGCATGAGTGTGCGCGCCGGCCCACCGCTTGCGTGGCCCAGTTGCAAAGAGGCCACGGCCCGGGGGATTGGGGACCTCTGCTCTATCGTGACCAAGAAATGTTTTTGTTGTTTGTTTCCCGTTTATTCTGATCTTCAGGACAAGCTTGGAAGATTAGAATAGACTAATGTTACGAAACACGCATTGTGGTATTTCAATAGAAGAAGCTGCTCTTGTGTTGTTGTTTTGTGTGTTATTGTATTAATTTGGCTTCTCTGAGTGCCCAGAATGAAATGTATCCTGTACAAAAATACATACAACGGGCTTCCAGATAGAATATACACCAGAATTGTTTCTTCTAGGAATAATGAAAAAGAAATATGAAAAAACAAAAACATATATTATTCTACGTATGACAACGGTGGCAAGATTGGCATTTGAGCAATGTTGGAGAAGTTCAAACATACCCTCCAAAGATTTAATAATTAGAAAGATATTAGATTGTGCCGAGATGGATAAAATCATATTGGAACTGAAAGAACTGATGGATTCGGATTTTTACATAATATGGGAGAAATGGTATAATTGGACTGAAGATAGAAAAAAAAAGGGAAATAACAGTTAGTAGATTCTGTAAAATGATATAGAGTATAGGAGAACATTAGTGTGATGATATGTAAATGGTGACAGTCATGCACAAGAATTGAATAAGAATTGTTTAATTGTTAAAACCCATTTTTTTAAAAAAAGAAATGTATGCTGTACAAAAAAAGCCCAAAAAACCCAGGATTGCCAGCACAGAACAAGGATAATAATGTTGGATTAAATCAGGGGTTGGCAACCTTAAACAAAGAGCCACAAAGGTCCTAACCGGAACCCCCCCATTGAATTATGGAGCCGACCGGAAGTCCAGTTCCCCCACCATAGAATCTCTTCCTAGAGTGGCATCCTTTTTCCTCTACCTGTCCTAACCAAAAGTCCTATCAATTGTGGAGCTGACCAGGAACAGGGAGCCGCAGCAGAGGGATAAAAGAGCCACATGCGGCTCCAGGGCCACAGGTTGCTGACCCTTGGATTAAATCAACAGAAGCAGCATTAGAATCGCATAATTCTTCCAACCTTTCAAAGGAGAAGGAAGAATATGATTCCAGGAAGATTTTTCTTTTCCCCAAAAAGAAGATAATAAGTCTGAAATATCTGTGTGGCAATGATATTAGTTATCTAGAGTAGAAGGTTTTAATTTTCTGAAACATCAATGAGGCTTTGAAGATTCAACAAGTCTATGAATCTTAGAATTAGGTATCAAGAATCTAAAGAGATTTATATGGGTGAAGACTTATTTGGGATCCTGAGGTTGGAAAGGCAGTTTGCATATTCTTTGCAGCACGCTTCTCAACAATAAAATCCATAAAATTCACGGGGTGCTTGTCCCAAAGGAGTTTTTTCAAGAGGCAACTGGACTTACTTTGTTTTTCCTTGAAGACTTTTCACTTCTCACCAGAAAGGCTTCTTCAGTTCCGACTGAATGGGGGGAGAACGGAAGGGTTTATATTCCTTGCAGTCCTCTGATTGTTAGTACTCTCTTTGAGAGTCGTTGAGGCCACTTGGAGTCCGTTCATTCCCCACCATCCAATCAGAACTGAAGAAGCTTCTTGAATGAGAAGCGAAATGTCTTCAAGGAAAAACAAAGGAAGTCCAGCTGCCTCTTGAAAAAGCACCTTTGCGACAAGCACTCCATAAATTTTATGAGTTTTATAGTTGAGAAGCATGCTGCAAAGAACATGGAAACAACTGTCTTTCCAACTTCAGGATCCCAACTAAGTCTTCACCCATATACATCTCTTTAGATTCTTAGACTTGTCGAATCTTCGAAGTCTCGTTGGACATCTTGTTTGACGTTTCAGAAAATTAAAACAATGAAAATTAATTTTTTATTGTTGAGAAACATGCTGCAAAGAATATGCAAACAACTGTCTTCAAGAGGCAAGTGGGCTTTTAATTAGGGCATCTTTCGGAAACTTGACACTGTTTTTTCTTTGAAGACATTTCACTTCTCATCATAAAGCTTCTTGAGAAGAAGGAAGAAACAGGAAGGAGGAAGGAGGAGGAGGAGGAGGAGGAGAAGAGGAAGAAGAAGAAGGAGGAGGAGGAAGAAGGAAGAAGGAAGAAGAGAAGGAGAAGGAGAAGGAGAAGGAAGAAGGAAGAAGAAGGAGGAGGAGGAGGAAGGAGGAGGAGGAGAAGGAGGAGAGGAAGAAGAAGAAGAAAAAGGAGGAGGAGGAGGAAGGAAGGAAGAAGGAAGAGAAGGAGAAGGAGAAGGAGAAGGAGAAGGAGAAGGAAGAAGGAAGAAGGAGGAGGAGGAGGAGGAAGGAGGAGGAGGAGAAGGAGGAGAGGAAGAAGAAGAAGAAAAAGGAGGAGGAGGAGGAAGGAAGGAAGAAGGAAGAAGGAAGAAGGAAGAGAAGGAGAAGGAGAAGGAAGAAGGAAGAAGAAGGAGGAGGAGGAGAAGGAGGAGGAGAGGAAGAAGAAGAAGAAGAAGAAAAAGGAGGAGGAGGAGGAAGGAAGGAAGAAGGAAGAGAAGGAGAAGGAGAAGGAGAAGGAGAAGGAGAAGGAGAAGAAGAAGAAGAAGAAGAAGAAGAAGAAGAAGAAGAAGAAGAAGAAGAAGAAGAAGAAGAAGAAGAAGAAGAAGAAGAAGAAGAAGAAGAAGAAGAAGAAGAAGTAGTAGTAGTTGTTTCTTGGATGAGAAGTGAAACATCAAAGAAAAACCAGAAAGTCCAGTTGAGCACTTTTGGGACCACCACGACCAGGATGGCTGAGAATCTCCATGGATATTATGGGGTGCTTTTTTCTTTCATTCCTAGCATTGTATTAGTGAAGGAGTAAGAGGGTTCTGAACAACCGGTCCTACTAAACATTACATAAATAAGGGAAGAATTTACCTGGATGATGAGCTTTGTGAAGGGATCCGTGATGACTTTTAGCAATTCAGGGGCATTTTCCCCGCTTTCCAGCTGAAATGAGTCCACAATAAGGCTGGTCAGGCGGAAGAGATACTGAGAAATAACTTCAATGGGCAACAGTACAAACACGGAAAGCCAGTTAAAGAAATCGTGGACAGTGGCACCCGCAAAGGCCCTGGAGACAGACAGACAGAGAGCGATCATCAGAAAGGCAACCAACGACATAAAAGAGGTTCAACAAAAATAATATATTCTTTTTCTTCAAAAGTATGATTGACAACATAGCCAGGTAGAGGATTCCTGCTATATTCTTTGCTTCATGGATTTTCTGGAATAAGAATGGAATGGGAAAACAGGATGATAATTGATCAGGTTTGTTGCTCTTCTGGCCAAATTGATTTTTTCTTTTCTTTTTAGAACCTTTTAATCCCTTTATTCAGGGTGGAGTTGAGGCGACTGAATGGAGCAAAAGCTCGACCTGATTCCCCATGGAAATGGCCCCGTCTGATGGACCAAGCAAGCAAGCCAACATTACCATCAGTTCACCAATGGGAGATGTGGAAGTATTTTTTCTTTTTTAAATGGTTGTATTGGAGATACAGAAGGAAGTGTTGTGGTCTGACAGCAGCCTGCGGAGTTGGCAGTGGAGTTGGACAGTGAGGAGGCTGGGGAGGGCCATGGGTCAGTCCTGGAGTCTGGGGAAGGCCCGGACGAGGGCTCTGCGTCGGAGGCAGAGATGGGGCCAGGGCCATCGGGGAGAGATGCGCAGACTCCGGAGCCTCCAGAGGCGGATAGCAGAGAGGCAGAGGAACAGGAGGAGCCTGTTCCTAGTGCACACATGCGCAGAGCTGCCAGAAGGCAAGAGCAGCTAAAGCAAAAGGGACGACTCAGGAGTAAGGCCAGGAGATGATTGGCCCCTCCCACAAGGCTTAAAAGAGCAGCAAAGGCTCGTGGGCTCTTTGTAGGAAAGCAACGTTGCTCAATCTGTTTCCAGTCAGCATCTCTTGTTTGTTTCTGAACTTTGTGGGGCCTTTGCCAAGTAAGGCCTTTGGCAGAGTGTCAAGGGAGATAAAGGTTGGTGATTATCCCGAAGGACTTCTTCCGAAGGACTTGTTTTGCAACTAATTGGGACTCAGCTGGGAATGAATGTAATTCTCAGCTGTTACAATAAAATAGGTTTTTTGGGACTAATTGGGTATTGCAATGACTCAGTAAGCCTAGGTCACAACATATAATTAGCTTTTTATGAAGTAGTTTTATTGCATCTATGTACAGATAGCCGTTAAATGAGTTTTGTCCCATTTTACGACCTTTCTTGCCACTGTTGTTAAATGAATCACTGCAGTTATTAAGTTAACAACACGATTGTTAAGTGAATCTGGCTTCCCTGTTGATTTTGCTTGTGAGAAGGTCGCAAAAGGGACCTGGACAAGTGCGACCGTCATAAATATGAGTCACTTGCCCAAAGTCTGAATTTTGATCACGTGACCACGGGGATACTGCAATGGTTGTTAATTAGTACAATCGAGCGGGTTTCAATTTTGGATAACTTGGAATTGTGTTGCTTGCGTTCAGACTTAGGCATTGCATACAAAATTGTACGTAGTAATGTTGTACTTGTAAATGATTTTTTTGTTTGTTTTAATCGCAATAATCCGCGTGCGAACAACTGCTTTAATGCAACTCGTTCTAAATTTGACTGTAAAAAATACAATTTTCATAATAGAGTTGTCAAAGTCTGGAATGCCCTACCTGATCTGGTTGTCTCAGCTACAAATTTTCATAGTTTTAGTCACAAATTGGCTTCTGTGGACCTCACTTCATACTTAAGTGGTCCATAGAGGGGCATGCATAAGAGCACTAATGTGCCTATCATCCCTGTCATTGTATTTTTATATTATTCCTATTTTCATTTTTGTTTGACAACTTACAATTAATTAATTAATTAATTAATTGTGAAAAACAGTCAAAAGTCACTTCTTTCAGTGTGATTTTTGAATGGTCGCTAAATGAACTGTTGGAAGATGAGGACTGACCAGGATTGTTATTAAAGGTAAAGGTAAAGGTTCCCCTAGCACGTATGCGCTAGTCGTTCCCGACTCTAGGGGGCGGTGTTCATCTCCATTTCAAAGCCAAAGAGCCATCTCCGAAGATGTCTCCGTGGTCATGTGGCTGGCATGACTCAACGCCAAAGGCGCACGGAACGCTGTTACCTTCCCACCAAAGAGGGTCCCTCTTTTTCTACTTGCATTTTTTACGTGCTTTTGAACTGCTAGGTTGGCAGAAGCTGGGACAAGGAATGGGAGCTCACTCCAATACACGGCACTAGGGATTCGAACCGCTGAACTGCCGACCTTTCGATCAACAAGCTTAGTGTCTTTAGCCACTGAGCCACCGCGTCCCTCAAGATTGTTATAACAGATGGTATAAACATTTACATTTGTACTAATTTTATAGGTTTTCTTGGGTTGTCTTTCTTGGCTATTACCCTTACTGCTATTAGCATGTCTTAAGATAAGAATGTGATACCTTCGGAATTCATTCCTGTCACCAGCCTGCATCAGTGCCACAATGGTGTTTGTAACCGAAGTCCCAATATTGGCTCCCATTATGATCGGGATAGCATGCTTAACACTCAATACTGCAAAAATAAACATAGATATAATAATGATTACAGGTGAGAATGAATGAAAACTAGTGGCTCATACATGACTGCTTCAGTCCATGGAAGGTACTGAATTCCAGTTCTCCCAATTCCTTTCTACCAAACATTATACAAAATATAAACAGGTGATATAAACAGAGGCCCAGAATCAAAATCACTTGAAGTATTAGTATGCTTGATAAATCTTTAGTAAGGCCACACCTGGAATGCTGCATCCAGTTTTGGTCACCACCTTACACAAAAGATATTCAGACTTTGGAAAAAATGCAAAGAAGAGCAAGTAAGATGATCAAAGGCCTGGAGACTAAAACATATGAAGAACGGTTACAGGGATTGGATATGGCCAGCTTAGAGAAAAAGAGGGACCAGGGGTAACATGATAGCAGTCTTCCAGTATTTGCAGGGGTGAAATTCAGCAGGTTCTGACAGGTTCTGGTGAACCGGTAGCGGAAAGTTTGAGTAGCTCAGAGAACTAGCAAATACCACCTCTGGCTGGCCCCAGAGTGGGGTGGGAACGCATGCACCCAGCCTCAAAAACGTGCCTAAATAAGACGGCCTAGAGCAGGGGTGGGCAAATGTGGCTCTTTTACAACCTGTGGACTTCAACTCCCAGAATTCCTGAGCCAGCTGTCTCAGGAATTCTGGGAGTTGAAGTCCACAGGTTGTAAAAGAGCCACATTTGCCCACCCCTGGCCTAGAGGCAGGGCAAGTGGGCGGGCCCAGCTGAAATTTCCACCACCAGTTCAGGAAAATCAGTCTTAACCAACTGAATATCACTTCTGGAGATAATGTATTCATTTTAGACACTTCGGATAGGTTGTGACATCATAATTACTAATTCAATGAAGGAAAGGTGGAAGGTAAATTTGTAACGGTACTAGAGAATATAAGGCAAATGTATTGATGATTTACGGTGTGTCCATTGTACCTGCGTACACATGGTCCACCCCAGTGGTGGGTTTCAAAATTTTTTACTACCGGTTCTGTGGATGTGGCGTGGTGGGCATGACATGGCTTGTTGGGCGTGGCAGGTGAAGGATATTGTAAAATCTCCATTCCCACCCCACTCCAGGGGAAGGATACTGTAAAATCTCCAATCCGTCCCCAATCCAGGGGAAGGTTACTGCAAAATCCCCATTTCCTCCCGATCAGCTGGGACTTGGGTGGCAGAGAATAGACAGGGATGGGGCCAGTCAGAATTTTTACTACCGGTTCTCCAAACTACTCAAAATTTCCGCTACCAGTTCTCCAGAACTGGTCAGAATCAGTGGTGGGTTGCCCCCGGTTCAGACCGGTTCGCAAGGACCGGTAGTAAAACCGGCGGGAAGCCCCACCCACTGCCCCGGATGTCATCATCAGCAGAAGCAAGGCGCGGGCGATTCTGTTGCAAGCCGGTGGTTAAGGTAAGTAGAACCCACCCCTGGTTAGAACCTGCTGAAACTTACCTCTAGTCCCCCCCCCTTTGCAAAGTGAAGAATAAAACAAGTACCATTGTTTTCTCTTGGAAGTTTTGGCTGGGGATTGTTTATTTCCAAACTAAACAACCAACCCCACATTTGTAACACTGGTAGGGAAAAACAACGCCAGCAGAATTATCCCCTCCTGTTTAAAATACCCATAGTTGTATGACAGGCTATTTCTGAGCGGACGGCTGTCTTTGTTATTTCCTTATTTTGTGGCTGTCAAACTCTTGCAAGAAGTTATAAAATCCAAAAATCTGTTCTATAGTTGACTCACATGAAGAAGACACCATGCTGACAATGATAGAAGAAGACGTGCTAGAACTTTGCACCATCACTGTCACCAGAACACCGATGACCAGGCCTGCGACGGGATTTGATAAGACGGAACCATCCTTGAAAATGTCTCCTGCTGCTTTGCCTGTAGAAATAAAACTTACAGGTAGTCCTCGACTTGCGACAGTTCATTTAGTGACTGTTCAAAGCTGCAGCAGCTCTGAAAAAAAGTGACATATGTGTCCATTTATCCCACTTACAAACCTTGTAGCCTCTCTCCATGGTCAAAATCTAGATGCTTGGCAACTGATTCATATTTATGACAGTTGCAATATCCCGGGGTCATGTGATCACCTTTTGCAACCTTCTTATCGGCAAAGTCAATGGGGAAACCAGATTCGCTTAATGACTGGAGTGACTCATTTAACAACTGTGGCGAGAAAGGTCATAAAATCGGGCAAAATTCACTTAAATGTTTCGTTTAGCAACATTTGGAAATTTTAGGCTCAATTAGGGTCGCAAATGGAGTATTACAGCTTTAAATAACCTTCATAACACTCGAACCTCCATAGCAAAAATAATAATATCTGGAGATGATCTGATGCACTTCACAGGATGTGAACCATAGCATAAATGACAGAGGTTTACATTTATTAAACATTCTGTTTATATAAAGCACCACACAGAGCAAACAAAGAGTACAGTCACCATGTGCTTTACTGCTCAGCTACTGTATTTAACTGCAACAGGAAACAGGAAACCACTTAGAACAAAAGAGTATAGAGTATATACCATAGATCCACACTTGTAAATACTGCCATCTACTAGTTGAATACTACTGTAGTTGTTGCACAGAAATACATTCCAACAATGAATTCCAACAACGTTATTTCACCAGTGTGAAAAACGTCCCTTAAATTGTATTTAACTACAATGCCTGTCTTCATAGCATGCAAGACTTGTAGGGAAGGGAACTCGTTTCCTTAACTGGAGATGAAGATTACAATGGTTCCCAGAACTTTTTGCATATGGGTGTATATCCCGATTGACCTATCTCAAAAGTCTGTGAAAGGTATTTTATGTATTGAATCTCATGGATAAGACATTCTCCATCACAATATATATTACCAAACACTTAAGGACACTAGATCAAGAGATTAGTTTGGGTAAGAGATTAAGTCCTAGATTGGCAGCTACCTGCCAGTAGTTACAACAATGCAGGTAGAAAGAAACAAACAGATCTCCTCCTGCACCACACCCACAATATCCCCATGTGATTGACAACTCTTATGCTCAGTGGGCCTCAGAGTCTTGCTGTGTTCAACTGAGCCAGGGGTGGTATTCATTTACCTTCGCTACCGGTTCGCAAATGTGATCTTACGTGCACGCTCGCTCACTTACAGAGCCTTGCACAGAGCGTCAAAAATGGGAAGCGATGCTTCCCGCTACCAATTCTCTCGAACCGGATATAACCGGCTGAATACCACCACTGAACTAAGCGAGCCGAGGAAAAACTGAGTTTAGCTAGCCTCACTCCGAGAATCCCTTTGAGATATTAATGCTCTACATACAGTGTCTTTTAAGGGTGTCAAATGGAAGAAACAGTAAGAGTAGTGAGTCAATCGACAACTAATCTCCTAAATGGCATCTCAGTCTGGAAGATACCTGGGAAATCAAACATTTCAGTGTATTCAAAATGACTACACCTTAATTGACTTCTTGTAAATAAGTCTGGGAAATTCTTCTTCACGTTTCCGTGTTTGGTTCAGTCAAATATTAAACATACCTTATTGAAATCTGGGTGAGGTTTAGCAACAAGAGAGAGCAAAGATGCCAAGGCACAAAACATCCCCTATGATGTGTTTTCTTTATGGGTGGCCTCTTCCTCCCAAAGATGCTTTTATTTTAAAAGCAACCGGACTTTCCACCATTTCTTTGATATGCAAGTTGGCCTTGGCAAGTTGGCCATGGTGAGTTGGCCTTGACAAGTTGGCCATGGTGAGTTGGCCATGGCAAGTTGGCCTTGGCAAGTTGGCCATGGTTAGTTGGCCATGGTGAGTTGGCCTTGGCAAGTTGGCCATGGAAAGTTGGCCATGGAAAGTTGGCCATGGCTAGTTGGCCACAGCAAATTGTCATAGACCCATCTACGTTTGCTATCCTTAGTGCCAATCATCTTGATTATATAATGGCTTAAAAACAGAATTCTTTTTGATTCTTTTCAAACTGCCATAAATGCTTGTTGTAGCTTTATTTGCACATTCCTCGGTCTTGCAGGGCAATTCTTTTTGAGTTGCAATGCTTAAAAAATATTTATTCTGCACAAATGAAGGCGATAAGACTTTCTGTATCCTTAAATCAAGTACATTGTGGTAGCTGAATGAGAGACATTGAAATTCTTGCCTTACCTCCAACTAACTGGAAGGCAGAACTGAGCACGTCCAAGGAGCAAACGAAAAAGTAAAGCAATCCGAGCAGAAGGATAAATTTCCCGATGCCTCGCAAAATATAAATGACTTTGTGTTTTCCATCAAGCTCTGCAAAAAGAGAAAGGGAGCGTTCATGTGTAATTAGCACCAAATATAAGTCTTCAAATCTCAAAAATCTCATCTATAAGTTCATGGAGTCAAGGTAGATCTATCGGGAGCCCTGTGGATAATAAACCAGAAGGAATGTTCTCATCATTAAAATTTAACTTTAGCTAAAAGGAGGTTTTGTTTTTTTTAACGAAGCTTTACAAACAGCTATATTTTAAAAGAGCCCTTTACTTTGAAAGAGAAAATAGCATTTCGTGTTTAGATTCTTTTATTGATAGATCTCATCCTATATATATGTGTGTGTGTGTGTATAGTTAATATCTCGGGTTTCTTCCCGTGTAATTGTAAACATATCCTTAAGAGGAGAGCCTTGATAGTACAGGGGTTAAGGCACCCTGTTATTAAGCTTATTAAGACCAGCTGCCTGCAATTACTGCAGGGTTCGAATCTCGCCAAGGCTCAAGGTTGACTCAGCCTTCCATCCTTTCTAAGGTAGGTGAAATGAGGACCCAGTTTGTGGGGGCAATAAGCTGACTTTGTATAAATATACAAAAAGGATGAAGGCTATTGCTGAGCACATTGTAAGCCGCCCTGAGTCTTCGGAGAAGGGCGGCATATAAATCAAATTAAAAAAAAAAAAAAGAGAGTAGTAGCTACTACCCTCTTAAGGATATGTTTACAATTACACAGGAAGAAACCCGAGATATTAACTATACACACATATATACCTGTGAAAACTTACATAGACAAATATATATATATATATATATATATATATATATATATATATATATATATATATATATATAATTTTATTTCTATACCGCCCTTCTCCCGAAGGACTCAGGGCGGTGTACAGCCTATTTAAAAACACAGACAAAACAATTATATAAAATTTAAAATAATTAAATAAGTGGCTCAAATTTAAAACCCCAATAAATTTAAATACCCCAATTTAAAACTATTGTGTTGATAGTCCGGCCTGGCGGAACAACAGGGTCTTCAATGCGCAGCGAAACACCTGGAGGTCGGAGATCTTACGAATTTCCGGGGGCAGTTCATTCCACAGGGCTGGGGCTCCCACAGAGAAGGCCCTCCCCCTGGGCGTCGCCAGCCGACATAACTTGGCCGATGGCACCCTGAGGAGGCCCTCTCTGTGGGAACGAACTGGTCGGTGGGAGGCTATTGGTGGCAGAAGACGGTCTCGGAGGTACCCGGGTCCTATGCCATGGAGCGCTTTAAAGGTGGTAACCAACACCTTGAATCGCACCCGGAAGACCACCGGGAGCCAGTGCAGCTCGCGCAGGAGGGGTGTCACATGGGCATAACGGGTTACGCCCATAACCACCCGCGCGGCCGCATTCTGGACCAGCTGGAGCCTCCGAGTGCTCTTCAAGGGGAGCCCCATGTAGGGGGGTATATATATATATATATAAAACACGGTATATATATATACCGTGTTTCCCCAAAAATAAGACCCTGTCTTATATTTTTTGAACCCCGAAATAAGCACTTGTCCTTATTTTCGGGGAGGTCTTATTATTTGGGGGCACATGGAGGAAACCAGAGGAAATGGCAGGGACTGGCTGAGCATGCGTTTAAATATATCTGGCAAAAGCCAGAGTGAATTCCAGGGAAGTCAGATTGTCTTGATCAAGGAAGCCTTAGCTGAAATATCCACCAACTCTTTCGGAAAATATGCTGTAAATCCAAACTTTAGGATTCTAAATCATTTTTTTAAAAAAAAATTATAATAATCCCACCCATTTATTTATTTATTTATTTATTTATTTATTTATTTATTTATTTCTCTTTCTTTTTCTCTTTCTTTCTTTTTCTCTTTCTTTCTTTCTCTTTCTTTCTTTCTATCATCTATCTATATCTCTCAACAGAGAGAAAGAGAGGAAGAAAGAAAGAGAAAGAAATGATGTGATATACCAAAAATCAGGTACATAAGCACAAAAATCAGGTACATAAGCACTATCAGGCCCCATAAAGGATTTATGATATACTGTAAATTACATTAAAAGTTCACATTGGTTGCTATTTTCTTCTAGAGGCTTACTTTCTCTATTGATGCATGACCTTTGAGCGTACCTAAGTAGAATAACATTAATTAATACAACATAACATGGTTCAGGCAGATAGATAAGATTGAAAGATGGATGGATGGATGGATATATGATAGATAGATAGATAGATAGATAGATAGATAGATAGATAGATAGATAGATAGATGATAGATAGATAGATAGATAGATAGATGAAATCCAGCAGGTTCTGACAGGTTCTGGAGAACCGGTAGCGGAAATTTTGAGTAGTTTGGAGAACTGGCAAATACCACCTCTGGCTGGCCCCAGAGTCAGGTGGGAATGGAGATTTTGCAATATCTTTTCCCTGGAATGGGGTGGGAATGGAGATTTTGCAGTATCCTTCCCCTGCCATGTCCACCCAGCCATGCCCACCAAGCCACACCCATGAAGCCACGCCCACAGAACTGGTAGTAAAAAAATTGAATTTCACCAATAGATAGATAGATAGATAGATAGATAGGCAGGAGGCAGGCAGGCAGGCAGGCAGGCAGACGGACAAATAGATAAGCAGGTAGAGATATGTAGATATGTAAATATATATGCCTGATAACATTTGCAGAATTTTTGGTGCTGTGCATTAACTGAGACTCAATTAGGAGAATATCAAACGTGGAGGAAGAGGTTATCACTTAATATCTCTTGGTTATCATTTGTCGTGGTGAGCCATGCCACATTTTGTCCTTCCAGCCCGCCATTCGCTTTCCAAAGCAAAGAAACGAAAGAGAGAATGTTGAGGTTATATGAATGGAGAAATCATGCCATTCAGAACAAAATCCATCCAAATGCTCTTTTCTATTCCCCCAACCCCCACCCCGCCCCCAGATATATAACACTCCGTGAGAAGAACTTAAATGGAAGTTCTTAGAACCTGGAGAAAATGAAACAAAGGCCACCAGTTCTCTGATGATAGAGCCTCACCTGACCATTGGATTCCAGTATCCTGAAGCTCTGGTAGACGCCAGGGATCTTCCTCCTCCTCTTCAGATACAGCGGTCAAAGCAATGGTGGAATACGCAGGCAAAAGCTCGACCTGATTCCCCATGGAAATGACCCCATCTGATGGACCAAGCAAGCAAGTCAACATTACCGTCAGTTCACCAATGGGAGATGTGGAAGTATTTTTTTTTAAAATGGTTGTATTGGGGATATGGAAGGAAGTGTTGTGGTCCGCCAGCAGCCTGCGGAGCTGGCAGCGGAGTCGGACAGTGAGGAGGCTGAGGAAGAACATGGGCCAGTCCTGGAGTCTGGGGAAGGCCCAGAGGAGGGCTCTGCGTCGGAGGCAGAGATGGGGCCAGGGCCATCTGGGAGTGATGCGCGGACTCCGGAGCCCCTAGAGTTGGACAGCAGAGAGGCAGAGGAACAGGAGGAGCCTGTTCCTAGTGCACGCATGCGAAGAGCTGCCAGAAGGCAAGAGCAGCTAAAGCAAAAGGGACAACTCAGGAGTAAGGCCAGGAGATGATTGGCCCCTCCCACAAGGCTTAAAAGAGCAGCAAAGGCTCGTGGGCTCTTTGTATGAAAGCAACGTTGCTAAATCTGTTTTCCAGTGGGCATCTCTTGTTTCTGAACTTCGTGGGGCTTTGCCAAGAAAGGCCTTTGGCAGGGTGCCAAAGAAGACAAAGGTTTGTGATAAGCCCGAAGGACTTTTTCTGAAGGGCTTGTTTTGGAATTAATTTAGACTAAGCTGAGAATGAAGTAATTCTCAGCTGTTATAATAAAATAGTTGTCAGGTTTCGAGGTCGTCTCAAATAAATTGCATTTCAAACAAAGTCTGTGAAGAAAAAACTCCCATTTATTAAGCACGACATTTTAACTCCGACTCCATCGAAGCCAACACTGACTTCCAGACTCAAAACCCTCCCTTTCCGTTCCCCACTCCCCTGCACTCATTGGCCATCTTCCAAGTCACTCTACCCCTAATCTACTCCAGCTCAAAGGAATTTCCCCCCTCCCATCCCATCTCCTAGGGGATATCATCTCCAGGGAAAATAAGTAGGTGAAAAGTCAAACGTCCCTTTCCAGACACCTCCGCTTCTCCTTCTTATGTCAGCACTAGAGTAAAGGAAGCTTGAAGTGCTGACAGGAGTTTTGTTTGTGTCTTGTAATGACTTAAGTGAGCCTAGATCACAACAGAAAGGAGAGAACAGATCAGAAGAAGGCACTTCAATTTTTACCTTTGGTGTCTTTCCCCTCTTTGTCAGACATGATCTTCTTGGATTTTGAGGAAGGGTCTTCAATATATTTATTGGTGTCTGTGTCTTCCAGTTCAGGCCAGGGAGCCATGTCCTGCAAGACATTGTGGCCAAAGAGAAAGATCAATATTGAACGCTCCGCTATCGTATTTCCAAGGGTGCACTATGTCAAACTTGGAGGAACAGACACCCATTTCTTAAAAGCAACTGACTTAGTTGTAAACCATCATCTTAAGTATCCGAGCAAGTGGTGGTAGTTGGCTTGGTTCTTCTGATTGGAAGCTAAGCAGGGTTATACCTGGTTAGTATTCAGATGGGAGATTTCTAAGGGATCTCGGGGCTGTAGGCTAGCTTGGGTCCCTGAAGAAGATCACACAGAGCTTGAAGTCATAAGATAGGACATAAACTCGCTTAACAAATGTCTCACTCAGCAACATAAATTTTGGGTTCAATTGTGGCCATAAGTCAAGGACTACCTTTCTCATCTTCCTCCATCCAATGGCAAGAAGAAGAAAAATGCTCTTCCGTAATCATTCTCTTCTTGTGGAAATGGACTTTTGCAGGGATCTCAAAAGATCTGGGTTGGACTAGAAGACCTCCAAGATCCCTTCCAACTCTGTTATTCTATTCTATTCTATTCTATTCTATTCTATTCTATTCTATTCTATTCTATTCTATTCTATTCTATTCTATTCACTAACAGGCACCAACCCTGTGGAATTGCATGTAGGATTGAGGGAGCCAAAGGAGAATTTTATCAAAAGCCTCAATCATGGTGAAGTTGGGTTTTTTAATGATTGAGACAGTTTTCATGTTCCCAGCTTTTCTTGGAATAGAATAGAATAGAATTTTTTATTGGCCAAGTATGATTGGACACACAAGGAATTTGTCTTTGGTGCATACGCTCTCAGTGTACATAAAAAGAAAAGATACGTTCGTCAAGAATCATAAGGTACAACTCTTAATGATAGTCATAGAATAGAATAGAATAGAATAGAATAGAATAGAATAGAATAGAATAGAATAGAATAGAATAGAATAGAATAGAACAGAACACTGGAATAGAATAGAATAGAATAGAATGGAATGGAATAGAATAGAATAGAATAGAATAGAATAGAATAGAATAGAATAGAATAGAATAGAATAGAATAGAGTACAGTGGAATGGAATGGAATAGAATGCAATAGAATATAGAGTGGAGTGGAGTGGAGTGGAGTAGAGTAGAGTAGAGTAGAGTAGAGTAGAGTAGAGTAGAGTAGAGTAGAGAAGAATTCTTTATTGGCCAAGTGTGATTGGACACACAAGGAATTTGTCTTTGGTGCATATGCTCTCAGGGTGCATAAAAGAAAAAATACACTCCTCAAGAATCAAATACACTCATTGACAAGAATCTATCACGTAATGATAGTCACAGGGTACAAATACGCAATCAGGAAACAATATCAATATAAACTGGGACGGATGGGCTGCTGTAGAAATGAACAAATCAGTTGAGTAATTGCGGAAGGAGATTCAAAGAGGTGGCATGAGACCAGAGTTCCCTCGATAAGGAACTTCTTCCTCCATAGCTCTGGTGGGGGGAAAAAAATGTTGCAAAACTACCTAGGCTCCCAGGCTTTACTTCCCACACCTCTTGCAAGTCATAGGGAACGCATGAGAACACATCTGATCTCATGCTGATACAGTTCCTGAAGATAGAAGACACCTACTTTGGTTCTAGGTCGATCCTTCAGCTCACAAAACAAGCGGTAGAACCTTTACAATCAAGGATAGAGCTGGAAGGGACCTTGGAGGTCTTCTTGTCCAACCCCCTGCTCCAGCAGGAGACCCTACACCAGTGATGGCTAACCTTTTTGCCATCACATGCCAAAAGCGGGGGTGTGTGTGGGGGGGGATTGCACACGCACGTGCCCACGTGCCCATAATTCTATGCGCCTCACCCCCGTGCATATGTGTGCAACCCCTCTGCGCTTCCCCCACTTTTTGCAGGCGATGGTACGGTGGGCCCAGTAGGCCCATTTTTCGCCCTCTCCAGGCTCCAGAGTCTTTCTAGGAGCCTGGGGAGGGCAAAAACTGCCTTCCCCACTCCCCCGGAGGCCCTCTGGAGGCCAGAAATGGCCTGTTTGCTGACTTTCAGTAGGCCCAGAAGGCCCGAAAATCAGCTAGAGCTTCAGACAAATGGTTGTCCAGTCTCTTCTTAAAAACCTCCAGTGATGAAGCACCCACAACTTTCGCTTCCGTTGAGAACCGGTAGTAAAGGTAAGTAGAACCCACCTCTGGTCATAAGTATGAAAAACAGTCATCAGTTACTTTTTTCAGTGCCCTTCTAACTTCAATCACTAAATGAATGATTGTAAGTCAAGGATTTCCATCAGTTGAACCAAAGTTAATCTCCATTTATGTCCCAGCTACTTCAGGAGAAAACGAAGGACATATATTTGAGGAGCTGTCAATATTTGGGGAGCTGCCACAAACAAGAGGGAGGTCAAGCTATTCTCCAAAGCTCCTGAAGGCAAGGACAAGAAGCAATGGATGGAAACTCATCATGGACAGAAGCAAGCTAGAACTAAGGAGACAGTGAGGACAATCAACCAGTGGAACAGAAGTTGCGTTCAGAAAGTTATGGGTGCTCCAACACCGGAGGCTTCTAAGAAGGGACTTGAGAACCATTTGTTGAAAGTGGTCTAGGGTCTCCTGCTTGAACAAGCTGCTTGGACTAGAAGACCTCCGTAGTTCCTTCCAACTCTGTTATTCTGTATGAATTTTTTCCCCCCAATGAATTCAGGGGCTCTTAAAAGAACATGAAAGAATCATGCCTAAAGGTAAAGTTTCCCCTCATACATGCTTGCTAGTTGTTCCCGACTCTAGGGGGCAGTGCTCATCTCTATTTCAAAGCCGAAGAGCCAGCGCTGTCCGAAGACATCTCCATGGTCATGTGGCCGGCATGACTCAATGCCAAAAGCGCATGGAACGCTGTTCCCTTCCCACCAAAGGTGGTCCCTATTTTTTCTACTTGCGTTTTTTACGTGCTTTCGAACCGCTAGGTTGGCAGAAGCTGGGACAAGGAACGGGAGTTCACACCGTTATGCGGCACTCGAACCGCTGAATTGCCGACCTTTTCAATTGACAAGCTCAACATCTTAGTCACTGAGCCATCTTCCAAATCATGCCTAAACAGAGTTAAATTTATAGTAGAAGTAGATGACTTCTTTTGACCCTGCTTTTTGGACAGAATCCCCCCCCTCCCAAGTCTTAATTAAAAAGATATTTGTCATTTCCCTAGGACACAAAGAAATAGAAATTTCTGTACTTTCTGAAAGTTCTACGTGCCTACAAAGTATTGTCTCTGACTCGCCAGCCATGACAGCACTATGAAAGAACGAACAGTACTACTTCATACAGTAAAATAACCTGTGTGGTTTTTTTAAAAAAATTAAATTACAGAACACGGTAAAATTGAAGGGAAACCCAGAGTAGAAGGAAACAGCCAAAAACTTTCAAACTACTTATTAACTCAGCTAGCAGTTAAGACTTTTAAAACTGCATATTCTGTTCAGGGTTACAAGGAATTTACAAAGCGAGCCCGAGGAAACGAGGTTACAACTCTTTCAAAAAGTTTTTTTCGTTATAAAAATATAATTATGATGTAGGATTGCTCTATTTCTATCCAAGTAGAATTCCCGAATAACCTAGATGGGGGCTTGGCAGCGATCCTGGGATCATTTAGAGCTAATTAATTTTAGTTCAGTAAAATTGGAGTTAAGGCAAGAAGGACGCTTCTATATATAGTTTAACCTCTGGCCCCATTAAAAGATCAGTTACACAACGTAGAGCCCTTTTTGAATTCGCCACTACTTTGTAAATACAATGATGATTATCTGCCAGGATCTTTTTACGAGATGAAGCTACTTCTATACCTCCAAGTTGACCCCAAATTCGGTTCTGTCTAGATTACATTACGGTAATTCACTCAGAGTAAGATGCCCTTGGAAATGTTTTGGAAACTGCAAAATTGCAAACTGGTAGAAAATGAGTATTAAATGTTCCAATCATATTACACTGGTTCTGTATTATTTACGTTGGCTGCTCATTTTGGGGGAGAGGGAACCCATCCATGAAACTGTTGGGAGTCTTCGAAGCTTAAAACATTTGGGATGATACTAAGCTCTCTAAACAGATTCAAGCATTAAAATCAGGATTGGAATCATTGATGTTTTTTTAGCCCTGTTTGGGACAAGATGCCCCCAACAGGAGTATCTCTGCATGTCAAAAAGACAAGATGGTAACTGTTCAAAATTATATATATATTTATATATTACAAACTATTCTAAAAATACGAGTTCCAGGTATATTAGTAAAGAAAGAAGCAGACATCCTGCGAGCTCTGGAACTTAAAATTTTAAAAGAATTAAAATTTTATTTATTTATATACATACATACATACACACACACACACATACACACAACACACACATATATATCAACACAGATCAAACAAAGCAACAGTCACCATGTGCTTTACTGCTTAACTGTTTTAACTGTAACAGGAAACTCTACTTAGAACAAAAGAACATAGAGGAAATACAATAGATCCAAACTCGTGAACACTGCCATCTACTGGCTGAATACTACTGTAGTTGTTGCACAAAAATACATTCCAACAATAACCATGGGCATGCGTTGCATATAAAAAATAGAGCTCTTCAATTTCACTGTTTCAGCTTCCATCTTGACTTCTTAACCGCCTCTGCTAGATACACACAGGTGCCTAGTTTTCTCAAAAGAGACGCCAGGTCTTTAAACATTATTGTGTTATCAGTGCTGATTTAGGCAACAGGCAGTTGTAACTTTGAACAGTCTCTTAATGAATTGTTGTATGTTGAGGACTACTTGTGTTTCTTTACTCACACATTCTAACCTATAGTTGGTACTTGCAGAAAGTATCCTCCCACCCTCTCATCTCTATCTCTATCTATCTCTATCTATCTACATCTACTATCTACTATTTATTTATCAATCTATCTATCATATCATCTGTTTGTCTATCATCCATCTATCTATCTATCTATCTATCTATCTATCTATCTATCT